GTGTGTGTGTTGGGGGAGGTGTAGGTGTGTATGAGTCCATGTGTATGGGTGCCTTCAGAAGCCAGATGGTGGTGGTTGTAAGCTGTCCAACATAGATGCTTGGAACTGAGTTTCTATCTGATGAAAGAAAAGCAAACACTCTTAATCATTGAAACATCTCTTTAGTCCCTGCTTAGGATGCTTTTTCCCATGATTTTGACCCATCAGAATTGTATTTATCCTTTAAAGTTATGGCACTTCAACTAGAACACTCAGATGAGGAATAGGCAGTAGGCCAGAGGTTACAAGAAGCTCTTAGATAAATGTGCATCTTCCTACAGCATCAATGTTACTCAACTATTTAGGGGAAATGTTCCCTAGTCAGGAATGAGAGGTTAAGCCAATATAGAAGGATGCATTTTAGAAGATAAAAAGGAGAGAAGCAGAGTGAACCTTATGTGAGTATCCCAGAACCTAGATCCTAAACCCAATTATGCTTCTGTCGGAAGACATGATAAACGCCTGGGTCGTGCAATCAGCACGCAATAGTCAGTGTTGCTATGAGCAGTATTGTGGACAATGGAGATGAGCTGTATTCTGGAGGAGGCCAATGTGGATAAAGGACAATTGTGAACTTGATACTCTCTTCCCATTCTATTGCCATGATCATGTCTGAGACTCTGGGAAGGAATAGAGATATTATGAATTAACTGATGTAAGAGTGTGAAGTGATGAAGAGAGAGTAGTCATCAAGCTAAGATTCCCAGGATGTTCCTAGTTTAAGTACTTTTGTGAGCAAGGAAAATGGAGGCTCCAAGGAAGTTGAGTCATGGAAAAATCAAGCCACAACTTAACCACTGATATCCCACTATATGTTTAACAACCAGCTCCTCTCTCCTCAACAAATCTGTGCACAGAACTGCTCCTGTGCACTTAGCAACAACACCCTGGTAGAAGGGGGCCATGTGGCTATATTTACACTTTGGAAATGGAAAATGCTAACAAATCAAAACTTAACGAATGAGGGAGTTTTGTTGATAAATGCAGAGAATTCCTCCTGCAAGCCAATATTTGTTGAGTATAGTATGCTACTGGATTTAACACACCAGACACAATGACTGATATATTCCACATTTACATACTGACATACTATAAATTCAAATGCAAATTTGATCAGAAAGCCTTTCCCCCTTCATTTCTCAATTCTCTTGTCTAGTTTTCCCCTTTCTACTACCACCTCCCTATTCCAATTACTCGTTCACTCTCATTTGGACTCTGCAATGGGTGCCAAAGTCAGTTCCCTGCTTCCCCTTATTTATGATTCATTCATTAAACAGTATTGGAACACTTAATGTGAAGCCTATTTACAACAATGATTTCCAGTTACATGCTGAGTGAAATCCAGCATCTCATTGTTCACACTGTACATGTCCTGACACCAGTCTCCCTTTCTGATCTTGAATTTTCTCTCCCCTTATCACATACCAGTCATCTGGCATGCTTTCTGTTCCTCCTTGGAGCTATATCAGTCTTGCCACTTGCTATTTCCTCTTCCTGAAATTCTCTTTCTCTTGTTCTCATGGCCGGGTCACTTCTATCTTGTAGGCATCTGCTCAAACGCCACAACTTCAGAGGTGAATTCCATGGTCAAGTAATCTATATACCTTCCCATGTCATAATAGTGATAATGATAGTAATA